CACAGTATACTAACTCCGAGCCGACCAGTCCTTCTTTTAGCCCCTTAATGCCAAACGCCAGACAGGGTAACAACAAGTACCATCTTTTAACGTCTTTTGGTATGACGCGGCCGGGGATCGAACCCCGGACCTTCCGCTCTCCGGGCGGACGCTCTACCACAAGACCACGGAGGCGGTCAGAAATTATATGGGTGGGTGATCAGGAAGATAAGTTTAGTGAACACAACCACCTGGAGATGTAAACGTGGCCATACCATTACTGTCAGGACTGAGAGTTCCATTTGATAGAGGGAGTTCGGTTTAACGTCGATTCCAGTTTTATTACAGCTTTTTCAGCTTAATGTGGAAGGAATGCCCGAGGTGACGCAGTTTTCAGAAGTCTTCCAGTTTGATTAAACAAACAAACAAACAAACAAACATGGGTATGGGGTTTACAAATCTAAAAACATTATTTGGGCGAACCGGGATGCGAACCCCCAATCACATGTTTCTGGCGAGCTAAAGGGAAACAACTCTGCACAGCCAATTATTATTCCTTTGACGAACGAAAATGAAAAGTTAGTGTTAGGCGGTTGTGAAGCTAAACTGACCGAATCGGTATCACCCTGGGACATGATTGTTTGTGATAAGATTTGAGCCAGAAATTAGATCAGTACGACTATAATTCTTTCTTCCAGACAGAGTATCTGTCCAACAAGTGATCGGGATAAAATGTTTACTATTTTGCTGGTGCTTTCTTATAAAGTCAGTGTGGTTTTGTGTTTGCTTTTTTCATTCTTGATATTCAATTGCCACAGACTTAAACATGTTTGGTCAGAAAGTTCGTCAGAAAGATATAAGTGAATATTTGTGTTATTGACATTTATCTGTCTTTTGAATTTTAATTAAATATGTTTCGATGAAATGCATATCACCAAAGGCATGTGCGGACGATGGTATAAGTCTAGTTGTTGAAACATTCGCACGTGAAACCGATGGTCCGGGTTCGATTCTCTGATGGGTGCAGCTCGTTCTTGGTGTGTTCCTCGTGATAAGGCTGCGATAGTGCTGACTCAGGGCAAACTGGTGCCAACTCGGAGGGGCGTTACGTGTTGTCGTTCTGAATCGATAAGTCTGACTGATTTCATTGAGGATATGACAATGATCTATGACTGGGAGCACAACCGGGTGAGGTGAAGTACTTGGACCTTGGCTTCACCAGTTCTTATTCCACCGCCGCTCATCTATCAAATGTCACCGAAAGAAGAGACACTATGTATGTTTGTTCCGTAAAGAGACTTGTTCACGCTCTATAGAACCCTGGATCCGATTTAGTGAATGGAGCGAGTAAGTGAGTGAGTTGGGTTTAACGCCGCTTTTAACATTATTCCAGTTATATCGCGGCGTGTCAGCTTAACGTGGGAGGAAAGCCTGAAGTGATGCAGGTCTAAGACGTTTACCACGAGCACGGGTATGGTGCTGACAAACCTAGAAACATAATCGGGGCGAACCGGGATTCGAACCCACAATCATAGGTTTCTGGCGTGCCCAAGGGACGCAACTCTGCACAGGGAATCGCGGCGCCTTAGACGACTTGGCCACCCGTGCCCCCTAGTGAATGGAGGTTCAATTATGTGATTAATAATAAAATTAAATAACGCAAAAAAAACCCTTTCATTATCCAATAGAAATCTCTGCTTAAAGCAGAGTCGATTGTACGATTTCGACTATAACATAACACTCTCCAAATTGAATAGCTAAGGACTCGTTTATCAAACACAGTCATTGGCAAATTCAGGGAAAAGTGCAACAAGCTTAAATTAAGAGAGTAGAGCATGACATGTGATGCAGCTGAGCAATAAATCTTGGCAGAAAACTCTTTCGTGAAGCCTGGATCCGCTTAAGTAAAGAAAGATTCAATTTTGTGATAACACCCTCAAAATCGAAGCGATAAAGACACGTAAATCAAATACAGTTATTGGCGAAAGTTCAGAGAAACAACTGCAAGCTTAAGACTGTAAAAAGTAGAACATGGCATTTGATACAGCTGAGCACATCTTTGATGTGAAGCCCGTCGCCATAAGACACTCATCACACAAAGACCACTGCTTGATCTGTTCGTATGAAATTACCCGGATCAAACAGCACTGCTGATGCTGATCATGTATTTTGTGATACGGGTCATTGCTAAACATGCACTGTCTATTATGTGCCCGAAGCAATGTTGTACACCTAGATATCCCTTATGTTGGGACCCGTGAAGATTCCGGGGTAGAATAGGTCTTCAGCAACCTATGCTTGCCGTAAAAGGTGACTATGCTTGCCGTAAAAGGTGACAATGCTTGTCGTAATTGTTTTCCTTGTATTTTCTTACCCGTGAAGAACCGGGGTAGAATACGTCTTCATCAACCCATGCTTGCCATATAAGCGGACTATACTTGTCGTAAAAGAGCTCCGAACAATACCTGCCGGCAAAGTACTATCTGGTGCTACATGTAATGTTCAGCACAACTATGGCAAGGAAATTGGGGCAAGAGTCTCCCAGTCGTCTGAGGCGGGATAATTCGGTGTGAAGAGTTGCGTCCCTTAGACCTGTCAGGATCCTATGATCATTGATTGGATTCCAAGATTCGCCCTCATAATGTTTCTGGGTTTGTCAGCAACATACTTGTGATCTTTGGTTTCACATCATTAGATTTGCACCACTTCGGATTTGCCGTAACATAAAGCTGGAACGCCGTGATATGACTGGAATACTGTTCAAAGCGGCGCTCCGCCAAATCCACTCAATCACCCCCAAAATCAGCTAATATTTAAGCTCCAAGGTTAGGCCAAAACGTATTAGCTTTCTGGTTTCTGTTCCATCTGTGTCATTTTCACCCAGACCAGTAACATAATACTGCTTTTGACCTTATGGTTCCTTTAATAAACATACATGAGTATCACGAGGCTATAGAATAGGTCATCAGCAACCCATGCTTGCCGTAAAAGGCGACTATGCTTGTTGTAAAAGGCGACTAACGGGATCGGGTGGTCAGGCTCGCTGACTTGGTTGATGCATGTCATCGATCCCAATTGCGTGGATCGATGCTCATGATATTAATCACTGGATTGTCTGGTCCAGACTCGATTATTTACAGATGGCCGTCATATAGCTGGAATATTGCTGAGTGCGGCGTTAAACAACAAACCAACCAACCCTTATGTTGTTATTTGCATGTGGGAGACACTCGGAGAGAACACACCGAGTTGTAAAATAAATGGGAGTTTGTACTCCAATCTGATTGGTTGAAGAACGTTGTTAAATGGGATAGGATCCAGGAAATCTATCTGACTTTTCATGCGTTTTCGTGAAAAGCATATTTTTTCGCAATTACAGTTTGAAACAAAAAGTAACTTCTGCATTAATTATATCGAGTATAATTTGCAAATAATCGAGTCTGGACCAGACAATCAAGTGATTAATATCATGAGCATCGATCCACGCAATTGGGATCGATGACATGCATCAACCAAGTCAGCGAGCCTGACCACCCGATTCCGTTAGTCGCCTCTTACGACAAGCATAGTCACCTTGTACGGCAAGCATGGGTTGCTGAAGACCTATTCTAGCCCGGATCTTCACGGGTCAAAAACAACAGAGAATTTGTCGGTTTGATTTCTCTATCTACTCTCGTGTAGGGAAAATAAACCCGACATTTCCGTTAGAGACAAAATAAGTTTTGGGGAGCCGAACTAATAATGTTTTTATTTTAAATTATTATTTTTTGTTATTTATTTTTATTTTCGCGAACACCTGGTATCACCCCTTTTTGATAGTGATTCGTAAACACATGCTTGTGATGTAGACGGAATCGTACAATGGGCTTAGGATGATGGATACAGTTTTTGTCGCCTTTATTTACAGCAACCCTTATCCAGCAAAATATGTTTTCTTGTTGTAAAACTGAGGTAGAAATATTTTTTTCCTTGTATTTTCTTACCCGTGACTATCCGAGGTAGAATACGTCTTCGGCAACCCATGCTTGCCGTTAAAGGTGACTATGCTTGCCGTAAAAGGTTACTAACGGGATCGGGGGGTCAGGCTCGCTGACTTGGTTGATGCTTGTCATCGATCCCAATTGAGTGGATCGATGCTCATGATAATAATCACTGGATTGTCTGGTCCAGACTCGATTATTTACAGACCGCCGTCATATAGCTGGAATATTGCTGGGTGCGGCGTTAAACAACAAACCAACCAACTAATATAACCTAGTTTTTTCTGAAAAATATTTTCTTCATCCACGCCCATAAAAGGACAGGATATCATCAGAGATTTTATGATATAACGACCATATAAAAATGGTATCTTAGCGTTCGTTCTGTAGCGCTATTACTACAGTAACTCCAATCCTGTAATTAAGATTTATAGTAGTCCTAGCGCTAAGATGTCTTTGTGAAGTTGGCCCCTTTCGTCTAATAAACACCTGTGGTTTTAGTGCATTAATCTTTGCTAAAGTCGTTTTGTCCCCCGAGAGGATATGTATTTGATAGTAGTATATATGTTCGTTTAACTTTGGCTAAATTTGTCATAATCGCCAACAGCTGAAGGGATGATGTTAATCCGTCCCCATGGACCCTAGCATGGTGATCTACCTTCACCTGCTGGCGATCTGTAGCCCATTTTTATATAGTATCGTTATTTATAGTGATATCTTTTTATAGTTGTATGCTGGTTTTAAATATTAATCTGTGATATTCTAGTGATTTTGCTGTCCATCGATGACAGATTTTAATTTAGTAAAAATATATGTATTTAAAAATGTATAATTTCTCGTCACGATATGGCTGAAATATTGCCGATGTGACGTAAAGCATTAACTGACTCACACTCACTCGTTTTTCTGCATACTTCAGGCGGACCTCCTTTGCCTCCTGGTTTTGACACGGACGACAGATGGGCGTGGTGGATGAAGCAGATTCTTACTCCTCTCATCGTTGCCATAGGAATAGGAGGGAATTGTCTTTCGTTCATCGTAATGAAAACGAGGTCGTGGCGCCATAAGTCCTACAGCCATTTCCTGTGTGCCTTGGCTGTATTTGACAGCCTCACTCTCATCAACAGGGAGATCCTACTTATACACGAATTGCGTATATACGCCGGAGATTCGGGAGTATACGCAGGATTCTCTGACATGGCGTGCAGCATTCACAACTTCTACGAACACATGTGCTATTTAATGTCCTCATGGCTCATTGTGTGCATGGCAATGGAGAGAGTGGTGGCGGTCTACTTTCCTTTGCGGAAGGCTTTCCTGTGCACTCCCAATGGCGCAGTGATCGTCATCCTGGTGCTAATCATGCTTCTTACATATACTCAAGTAAGTACTACGTGTTTCTCTTATGCCCCCGTCCCACTTATTCGGAATTACCAGGAATCAAGCAGAACCAGCCGGAATGAAGAATTTTCAAATTCCGTGCCACATTCGGGAGGGAATTTCAAATTGACAAGCTTTGAAAGAATGCCGTTCGATCACTTTGAATGCGCGTTTTTACAATATCATTTAACGCGCTGGGACTGAAGTGTTTGGTCCATCACTAGATTGTCCCGTCAAAATTCCATTGTTATTTTTTTATATCCCCATTCCACTGACCATCGGAACCTGATCTGAAGCCCATCTGATCCCAATTTTGCAAACATTTCAGCGTTCCGATGAGTTCCGATGAAAATTCATCCGACATCCTTTTTTTTTGAGTCCCTGCTTTCCGTAAAATCCGATAGAGATCCAACATTGATCGGGGTAATCGGATGAAAGACTGTTAGCGGCCCGATGTCTGTCCGCCATTTTCATCGGCGGCGTCCGATTGATCCGATTGCGGTCGGATTGTATTTCGAGGTTGACCTGACACTAATCTGACACTTCCATCACTCTCCCGACACCAATCCGACACATCGGTTACTATTCGTAGGGAAATCGGACACTGACCCAATATTGGTCGGATTTGTCGCCAAAATCGGCAGTTGTGTGAAAAGGCGAGTGGGTTATCGGAAGTAAAAAACTTTGCTTCCGATGAGTGACTGATGAGCCAAAATTCTTTGTGGAATGGGGGTATAACAGGTCGCCATCGTTTGGCAGGAGTACTGTGCTCGGAGATCCATTCTTATAATTTTCATCACTAATTTGCCTTGTACCTACAGTGGAATCGTAAGAGGCGACTAACGGGATCGGGAGGTCAGGCTCGCTGACTTGGTTGATGCATGTCATTGTATTCCAATTGCGTAGATCGATGCTCATGATGTCATTCACTGGACTGTCTGGTCCAGACTCGATAGTTTACGGAATGCCGTCATACAGCTGCAATATTGCTGAGTGTGGCGTTAAACAACAACAACAACAAACACAGTGGAATCAATTTTGGCGGATAATCACGACTGGTTATTCTTTGGCGTTGACCAGCTGCCTACGATCATAGAGTTCTCGAAACCAAAAGGGAGGCAACTCACAGAGCATTCTGCAAAAATTCCTTGACGTATTGATAAGCTGTCAACTAAATACTTGCTCTCGTTTGAAGAGCACTATGGATTACTTTGATAAATGAACCTGAGTCTAAATGGTAGCGAAACGTAATTTTTGCGTGCCACAGGGCACACTTTGGTGCGATTGATTTGGATAAAAAGTACTGTCGGAAATGCTGGAAAAAAACCAAGATTGAATATTTCACTGTAGCTATTGAAATAATGAGTAATTAGCGATATACCGGTGGTTTGAAGTATTTTAGACACAAGGAGTCCTATTGACATTTTTACAGGAGAAACATTCGAACGAAATCAGCAAGTTCAGATATATTCTTAGTCCAATAAGGGAAGTCTGAAACGGACTATACAAATATGCACATTGGACTCCGTTATAATAATAATAATAATAATAATAATAATAATAATAACAATAATAAATCCAATGAAATCATTTATATTATTGAATTTTAGACGACTGGGCCACCCGTGCCCCCTACTGTATTTGTTATTCTAAGCAGTAAATAATAATAATACTGTAGTCTTCTTAAAACTTCTAATCCATAAAACCAAGTCAGGTGGAGAAATTACAGATATGCACCTTAGAACATAACACAATTTGTTTTTTGCATTTGTTTTGTCAACACAGCTCCCATGATGCAAGTTAGATTACACTATAGCCATAGCCATGATATTGAGTCTGTAGTAGGAGATGTATACAAGTTCATTACACTTGAGCGAGATAGAGGGAAAGCAGTTATTAGTTTAGTTAATGGTGTATTGCCAAACTGCCCAATATCTGGGGCTTTCATACCAATACCACTATAGGAGTGATAGAGGGTACCCGCGACTTGTAGAAGTGTTCGGGAGGAAATTAATGACACAGTTAATGTTTCCCAAACAACATTAATTTTTGCTCTGAATAAGGAACCAGTAAAGTACAAGACAGATGTCCCGGCGGCACATCTTGGTGACGTTGTCTTACGTGTTCCAGTCAGAGAGTGTGACTCACACATGTCAAAGGCCTGATCAACACAGCCTTTGCTAGAATCACATCAGCATTGTGGCAAAGGCTGAAGATCACGTTCTGGAAATAGAACGTCAGTACCGCCAACGCACGGCGTAGATATGGGGCTTGTTGCACTATTTACCATAGCTTCAAATACGTCATCAGCTGAGTCATATGTTGGCTAAAGAAATCATCTGCAGAACAACAAATACTTCTTGCTTCTAAAACTCCAACCTTACCATTCTCACCCTGTTTCCTAGTTTTTAAGTTTTCCATCATTTTGCAAGCCAATATAATGCAGTACTGTGCTACCAGTATTAACGGATATCTCAGTAAAGTACAATAACAGCACTATTTTGAGACCTACCCCAACCTAGGTGATATTTGCACTTGTGGAAATGCACGGGCCAGTGTCAGATCATCCTCACATTTATACGTGATTATCAAAGTGAAACATGTTGACTTGTGCGCATTTACATTAGCGTGATGTGCCGGGCAAAAGAAAGTATACACTTATGTTTGGTGGTGGGTTAAAATGTAAGGAACAAGAAATTGTTATTCGATGGTGTGACGTATTTCATACGGGTACACTAGCTGTGTTTTGGACCTTACGTTTGCAGTGTTTTCAGCTTAATAACGTTTTGATAACGTTTGTAAGTTTTTAGTAAAATCCAATTTTCAAATGTTTACTTATCTTTTGCCCGGCGTTTACATTGTTATTTATCGTGTGATCTCCTTTGAAAAGTGGATCGGGTAGCCCAGTGGTGTCAGTGTTCGCTCACTAGCTACACTGATGGTCAATGTTCGATTTCCAATGTACATATGTATGTGTTCTGCTCATGCGGCTGCTGGACAATTGGAAAAGTAGGCTTAATAAAGTCCTTTCTAAGAAAAACACATGGTAAAAAACAGAATTAAAGCCTGCGTGGGTATGCGTCGGTTGTTGCTGTAATATATGCATAGCATGTCATCGTGTCCCAATGGCGTAGATCGAAGTACGATATCAATAGCTGGATTATCTGGTCCCGATTCGATTATTTAAAGACCGGCGTTATATAACTGGAATATTGCTCAGTTCGGCGTCAAATAACAAACAAAACGTGTAACATGTAGAAAAAATACTAAAGATAATAATCTCCTTCGTGTCCTTTGGGGTAACTATTTTACTGCTGACCACATTTGGACTATGTTGTGCATTGTATCTTGTTTGTGTATGGCTTGTTAGGTTGTTTGTTTGTTTGTTATTAAACGCCGCACAAAGCAATATTCCAGCTATATGACGGCGGTCTGTAAATAATCGAATCTGGACAAGACAATTCAGTGATTGACAACATGAGCATCGATCCACGCAATTGGGATCAATGACCTGCATCAACCAAGTCAGCGACCCTGACCACCCGAACCCGTTAGTCGCCAAACAAACAAACTTTTGTTTCGGAAAAGTACTGTTATTTCACAATGTCCCACAAGCATTATATATTACCAAATTTACTGTGTATTCGAAGCCAGGAAAGTATCATGTGAAACCTCCAATGATATTCATTTCCTAGGTACCACTTCCTAAGATCACTTACACTTAACAAACTGAAAAAGCAAATGATTACTTTTGAGGACAAAACTGACAATTAATTAACAAAATATTTTAAAACAGAATTCACACATTCCCTGACCTTACAGACCAATCTGGGCAGAAACCGGATTATTCTGTATAGGTACAAACATAGGGATTCCGGGTTAGAATAGGTCCGCAATTTATGCGGGTCGTATGGATCGGATGGTCAGGCTCGATGACTTGTTTGAATAGGTGTCTTTGATGATTGTATTGTCTGGGCCTAGATTTTCGAAACAATCTTAGCTAAGATAAATCTTATCTACTTACGTTCAAAGATAAGATATCTTAATACTAAGATAAGATAGATTTTCGAAACAATCGTAAACCTGTCGCAGATCGCTCAGAGCTACGACACCTATCTGTAGCGGGAGAATAGCTCGAAGTCGTCAAGTGTATCGAGGGGACGAGTTCTGTCTCGGAATATCCTCGGTCTTGTCATCAAATCATTGTCATCTTCATCATGAAAAATGTCCAGAGCAAATTATACCGCCATCTTGGATGAGGATAAAATAAACTTACGACAGGTATAGGGCTATCTTAGATTTACGACAAACTTAAGATATCTTACGATAGTTTCGAAAATAGGCTCCGATAGCCTACGATTTCTTTACGATAACTTTACGATAATTTTAGGGCTAAGATCGTTTCGAAAATCTAGGCCCTGGTCCACACTCGATGGTAAACCTGCCGGCCACCGTCACTTATCTGAAATAATTTTTTTTTAATTTGACGTTTACACGATGTACGGCTTTTCCATTGGACGAGAGGTCGCGAAATTGACGTTCATAAGTGTATGAACGACACAATTTGATGTTCACACGTTTTTCACGAGATCGTGTTCTTGAAATGGCGTAAACACTGACGGACTACTTCCACATTCCTGGGGAAACCCCTGGGAATTCCATAGGACGAAAGCATACATAAGCGTTCATTCTGATCATTTAGAACCTTTAATCTTGGTCTCAGCGTTTCAGTATACATTGAGAAACGTCAGAGAGTTTGACTGCATGATTGTTCACGAATACCCTCACTACAACCCATCCTAATGAACAAAGGAAGAAATGCACATCCAAACTATCGTCAGTATCGACTCGATCTGTGTCTAGGCTGACAGTGACCATCTCCAGCAATCTTTGAATTTACCTTTGTGTCTGTTTGACGCATCTTTAATCACCTTTCAATAATCGGCTAGTTGATCAATGATGACTAACACATGTAACCGCCACAGGTTCATTAACAACTTTGG